GACGTGGGGCCTCTCGGTGCCGGCAGCGAACGCGGCCTTATTGAAGCTCTCGGCGAACGCCTCGCACATGCACTGCGCCTCGCCCTCGCCGAAGTAGTCCTTTTCGACCACGTCGGAGACGTCCCGCAAGAACAGCTTCGCAACGCACGGGATCCTTCCGCCGTCCTCCTCCACCTCCTCCACGTCGTAGCAGGCGCGCATGCCGCCCCTGGCGGCTTCCCGGTGCGGCGCCAGGACCCGCACGTTCGTACTTGTCGCCACCCACCCCGCCCGCCGGGGGCTGAACACGTACTTGACCGCCCCGCAGACGCATGGGCCGCCCCCCTCCTCCGGGGCCCGCGGCCGCTCGGGCGGCCCGGCCGCCATTCGCGCGCGGCGCTGGCTTTGCTCCGCTTCGCTAGCGACGCCCGGCCCCCCACGCGAGAGACCCGCCGCGGCCTCCGCAACGCAAGAAACCCGCTGCGGCCAGCCGGCGAGGCAGCGCACACAACGGCAGGGAGCAAGAGCAGCAATCCACACACACAAAAACACACACACAAACACACAGACCCACACACGCAAGAAGCCAACGGCAGCCCACGCGCGGGAGCATCACAAAAGGGAGAGCGAGAGCAACGCCGGCAAGGCTCTGCCCCTACTCGTCAAAAAAACAATAAACACAGGACAGTTGCCGTCAGTGGAATACGCCAAGACGACAACGGATGAGGGGGGTGTGGCGGCATATTTGTCGCGGGAATGTGTGGCGGCGGCTCCATTTAAGGGCCACCGTTTCTCCTAGTATGCCCCCAATGCACATTTTCATTTTCATTTTATTTGTTTTATTACTATTATTGTTATTTTTGTGCTGCACACCCCCACAAGAACCGGCTTCAGCAACAAATACAAGTGCAGAGAAAAAACCGCCGCCGTCGCTGCCAAATCAGAGAAGTCAAAGTGAGTCCCGAATACGCAGCAGGACAAAGCACGACGCGGTGGTTGGCAGTAAAATTTATGTTTTTGTTGAAGGAGTCTTCGTGTTTCCTCGTGCCCGCGAAGTTGTCGTTATTGGTATATTTGTTTTCGGCCTTTATATTTCAACTGAAGTTTCATTGTCTGTTGTGTCTGTGTGTGGTGTCTTATTTTTTTTGCACTTTGTGTGTGTGTGCTCTTTTATATTATTTCTCCATTTGTTGAATGTTTTTTTTCCTTAAACAGGAGCCTTTTTTGGTCGTATTGGCTTACCTTGCTTTATCTTGGGTATGGGTCATTGGGTTATCGTATTGATACTTGGGAATTTTTTTCTCTGTGCTGTTTTCTTTTCCTTTTTTCTAGTTGTATTTGCATCTTTTTCTCTATGGATTTTTGATAGAGTGGATAAAACTGTTTTTTAATCCCGTCTGCTTTGTGAATATTACAGTTTATGAGGCGCCTTTTGCCGTACTTGCTGAGTCTAGTGAACAAAGGTTTAATGTTGTTGTTTTTTCTTTGGTTTATTGATGTGACCATTATTCATATGTTTTCTATTTATGAGCACGTCTCTGGACACCTTCTTATCTCTATCTGAGGCGTAGTTTAAGTATTGCTATATCCTTTTTTAAAAACCCTATCCCGTAATATTATGGTGGTGTTTGGCAACGTCCCAAATGAATTATTGTACTGAGTCAGTGAACTATATTTGTGAACGAGAAGGCCTTTGTTATTTCCTCACTGCGGAGGGTATCTGCTCAATATAAAATATGTCCTTCCAAATTTGTTTATTTCTCCTTTTGTATTTCCTTGCATTCATGTTGGCGGGCATACTATTTTAAGAATGAGTATTGTCCTCCAAACTTTTTAAATTTCTATCTGTGACTCGTACAGAGGAATAGTTCGGGTTCTTTTGCATGCATACTTATATATGTATGCCTCATTTTGATGGAAATATTGCTCTTCATAAGTGTGTTTTAGATTTATTTGGCGAAAGGGAAAAACACACAAGAAATGACTTCGTTCCTTCCCCCTCCCTCCTCTTTTTTAAAAAATCAGTACGTGCCGAGCTTCTTGTGCCTCTCCCGTGCAGTTGGGATTTTGAACTCTTCCAGTAGCTTCCTTTCTTTTGTTTGCAAATGGAACAGAGGAGGCCTGACATGGCTTGCCGTGGTTTGTAAAATTTTGTTGTTGCTTTCACAATGACCGTGCCTTACTATTATTGATTTTTCTCTCCTTTTTTTTGTTACGAAAGCGATATGGCAAATGCTTTTTGCTGCCCTACCTGATAGAAATGCAAATGCTTTTTTATTAATGCGTCTTTTTATAGATAAAAATTTTTAATCCCTTTTTTCTGGTCCTCCTTGGCATTAGCATTTCCTTAACAAGGAGACTGTATTATCTTTTCCCGGCACTACGACTCACATAGGGTTCTACGAAGTTGTGTTTGTTCTCTCGCAAGTCGTGTTTGAAAATACACGGCAAAAAAAGATATGGGCTGCCTATTTGTATTGGGGTTGTTTGTTGCTCGTTTCCACGGAATTTTTTCCCCTCTAAGGCTTGGTTGTGTTGCACATGTTGTTTTCCTTTTTTTTTTCTCACTCTGGGGAGAAAGCTTAAAAAAACTTCTTGTTTTGGTGACGGTGCTAACAAAATAGGGTGACTGGTGAAATTGGTAAAATACGTGCGTTTAACAGAGAAAAAGAAGAGGAGGTAAAATTATTCTTCTCCATATTAGTTGCGTGGAGTCTGAAGTGTTGAGGATAATAATTATTGTTACTATGGGAAAGAAAGGTGAAAGTGGTGCTTTACTAGACCATTATATCCTTTTCCAATAGTTTTCTAGGATGCCATTTTATGCGAGAAATATTCATAGTTAGGGGCACTTGAACGGCGCTTGGTTAAAAAAAAGTCTTTGGCAGAGACATTTACTATCAGTTTATCAGATAATAAAAAATATGTGGCCATCCTTCCCCCCCCACACACACACACACACACACACCCACACTTTGGACAAATATTACTTTAGCTACCACTCCCCTATAGTTTTTAAGAGACGGAAATAGCTTTTCCTCATCAAGTCACTTGATTAGCTTTACGATGATATCTTTGCACTTCCTGTTGATACTAATTTTACTACGCAATGTTATGAAAGCCGCTTATATATGCGTCTTTTACCACATTCCTTCTACACTGTTTTTGTAAGCATGAAAAGAATGCATATTTTAGGCATTTAGGTGGGTTTTTCATATGTGGTTGCCATAGATACTTTGTATATTTTCTTCGCAACGTGGTGCTGTTCTCACGAAAAGGGTTGCCAGGACTCTTTGTTATTTAGAGCTGAACCCAAGGCAATGGACCAACCTCATCATGGCGAAACAGCTGAACAGAGAAGTCTCAACTCTATTGAGGGCAATATGACTACTGTGTTGCAATTGCGTCCTCCTGTATCCACAAAAGACAGAGAACCAGCAAAGACAAATCATGAGTATCAGCAAGACAATAGAATTTTGTTCAATCAAAGAAACGCTTCTGATGTACCGATGGCAGTTATAACACAAAAAACAATCTATAACAACGAGCTTCAGGTTCTTTCCAATCAGCTTAACAAAGAGATAAATGACCTCCAACACCGCGTCAGACTAGCCAAGCGAAGAGAAAAACACGCTCAAGAAAGCTTTGAGAGCATGCTGACAATAAAATCTGGGACGCATATACGTGAGCGCCACCAATAACATATATATATATATATATATATATATATATATATATAATTTTGCGCTATTGTAACATTATTCAGAATGAATACTTGAGCAAGAACAAAAGCAACAACAAGATGTATACTTTAAAAATGTTACTGTATTTTATTTCACCAACTATGCCAGTCTTTTCCCCATACAAAGCTTAACCGCATTCATAAAAATAGAACCAGAGTAAACAATGCGTCCCTATAGTAATTTCGACTCTGAGCACGACCCTCAACAAAAATCCAAAGAAAAAGAGGACATGACATTAGTGTTTAGCAAAGTCAAAGACAAAAACAAATTGCAATCAAATGATACAAATCCACCCGCCGAGTTAGCCTTCAAGAGCGCGTTGGGTGCGCCGTTCTCGACGGATGATAAGAAGCCGCCCGCCGAGTCAGCCTTCAAGAACGCGTTTGGTGCACTGGCCTCAACAGATGATAAGAAGCCGCCGGCCGAGTCAGCCTTCAAGAGCGCGTTGGGTGCGCGGCCTCGACGGATGATAAGAAGCCGCCCGCCGAGTCAGCCTTAACGAGCTCGCGTAATGCACTTGGTTGTCATACTGGAGTGTGGAAGTGTACTCGTTGTGGTAAGGCAAAGGAGCTTACTGGAGCGCATTTAGTAGGCAAAACGGAGGTGCGCTCAGACTGTTGGCCGTGCGCGAAGAAGTCGACTTTCAAGCTGGAAAGTTCAGTTTCACTGGGAGCTGAAAGGATACGTGAAAATTACGGCGGAGGGGAATCCTGCGAATATTTTGATTGCGGCGTCAGGGAAGACGGAGACCGTAGCTGGTTTTGCGGCTCCCTGTGTTCCAATGCAATCGGA